CTGTGTCCATGGGTTGTGCATATATGCATACAAGTTCATTGATTGAGCTCTTCCCACCCACCCTCCCCTTCCTTTCCAGTCTGTTCATGCTTTTGTGACTCTGGGTCTTATTTATAGTTTCTATTTCTTGTTTCATACTGTTGTAAGTCCCACTAAGTGTCTTAAAATTCTCGCTAAGTTCCGTGTGTATTCATTATCATTACTCTGAGCTCTGTATCTGATAAATTGCTTGCCTCCATTTTGTTTAACTCTCTTTCTGGAGTGTCCTCCTTTTCTTTTATTTGGGGGTTGTTTTTTGTCTCCCATTTTTTTGTTCCTTTGTATTTTTTTCTATGTATTAAAGTAAATTGCTATGCCTCCCAGTCTTCACAGGTGGCCTTATGTAGTAAATATTTTATGGGACCCAGTGGCACAGTTTTTTAAATCCCCTGAGCTGATTACTTGTGTTACTTGGGCTCTCCCATTATAAATGGGTCCTGAATACTGCTGTCCCATTTCTGGGAAGAATCTCCTCTGATGTTGGCTGACTATGAGGCTCAACCCCAACCACATCATCCAAGCTATTGCCTAGGTGCTGGCAGATAAAAACAAGATAAAACAAAATAAAAACATACAAGGCCCCTACAACAACAACAAAAGCAACCACAAAAGAAGAGAAAATTTGAAAGAAGAAAAAGTACAATAAAAGGAGAGAAGAAAAATAAATATGAAAGGGCAAAGATGAAAGAAAAAAGTTAAGAATAAAGAATAGGGGAAGGAAAATTGTATAAAAGAAAAGAAAAATAAGATAATTATGTAAAGGAAAATAGAGTAGAAAGCAGATAGACAAAATAATAGGAAAAGGCAAAACAAATAGAAAGAAGGAGAAAGAAGAAAAAATAGAGTAAGAAAAGGGAAGGGAAAATTAGATCTATAAAAGAAAAAAGAGAGACTAAAATAATAATCAATAAAGAAGAAAGACACAGAAGATAAAGAAAAAAAAAAGCAAAGTGGCATTGATCTCAGCAGACTTCAGTGCCTCCTGGGAGATCCCTTTGGATTCTGCTTTTCTGATGACCAAGGCTGTTCTGTCTGCTAATGCTGGGCTTCCCAAGGAGGTACTCAGGTGCTAACCACTGTCAGGAACTGTCCTCCTTTGGCTGTCAGCAACCTGTTTGAAATTTCCAGGGATCCACAGTTTGTGTCTTTCTCCCTAGGACTTGGCTGCTCGCAGGAGGAGCTTCACTCTAAGGCCAGTTCCATTAGCAGTACAGGGCCCAGTGATGGGTCAGCAACCTTCCCCAGGTTACTGGGCTCTACCTCTGCCTGCCTTCACCTGCCAGCCAACTGTCAATCTTAATCACTCAAAAGTCTGTTTCTAAAAGGGCTTTAGGCAGAATCAGGAGTCTGGACCTCTGGGTCTCCCTTGAGGAGGAGGTGCCATTCAGATGTCAGGGAAAGTGATGGGTGTGTTTCCCTGTTCCAGAGCTACTCCTCTGAGAGTGATCCAATATTTCCCTGCCCTGAGCTGGGCAGAGATCCTTAAATGCAGTCCAGGGGAACAGCTGGAAACCTGGAGTTTCTATCAGCTCTCCTGTGAGAGGGAAGCACCAGGCAGCTTCCCGGAATAGTAGGGTGGACAGTCCCATCCCTAATCCAGTCACTGGTTCCTGAGACTATTAAAAACTTGGCCTCTGCTGCCTGAGACTATTAAAAAGTTGGCCTCTGCTGCTGTCTTCTCTGCAAAGGTCAAGATGCAGGGTGTGGCAGGCTGTGACACCTAGGGCAGGGCTTTCGTTCTCCTGAGCTGTGGCTACTGTAATGGGCCATAGTCTCTCAGGAAAAGTGGCCATTGGTTTGGTGGGAGTGGGGGTAGGAGGAGGCCCAGCCTGGATTCCAGGCCTCGATCTTCTCGGGGAAATAACGCTCCCATAGCCGAAAGATCACTCTTCATTCTTGGCCTGCCACCTGCAGAAGCTGGGTCAGCTCCTCTCACCACCTCATCCTTACGACCAGTCTCCAGGTGTTTTCTGTCCTTCCTTGATATAAGTCTCTTCCTCAGCTGGGCCTCAGTTGGTAATTCTGGGTGAATATTCTCCAATTTAGTTGTATTTCCAGCCTGGCCCTGAGAGGGGGTGCCAGAAAGGTCTGCCTATTTGGCTGCCATCTTCCTCAAGAACTGTCCTGTTTGAATTTCTGTGAGTACCATCAGTTTTTCTGGAGGAAGAAGAGACTCCAAGAACTGCTTAAATGAGAAGGGAAGGGATTGGGAGGTTGCTTGTTGAAAATGAGGCCCAGTATCATTAAACCGTTCATTCAACAAACATTTACTGAGCACATGTCAATGCATCCAGCACAGAGCCAGTTATTGGGGCACAGAAAAAATATGACACAGTGCTAATTTGGGGGAATCTCTGGGGTACCCAAAGGGTTTTAGGGCAGGGCCCCTTGAAAGAAGCTGGAGTTAGCCCTGAGCCTGATGAGGCCTGGCACAGGCTTCCTGGCAACCAGTGGATTCCTTTCCTCCTGTCCCTGAGCCTGGTCACTGACGTAAATCTATTTCATGACCAATTGACCAAGAGATGTGACTATGAATAGGCACTGCTGAGGTGTGTACAGCAGTTTGCTGGGGAGCTCTAAGGCTGCAGCCCTCTGCAGACTCTCCAGACTCTGGACCACAGGCAGCCCGCTATCCAGCTGCAGATCTCACCACCCTCCCAGGGCCCAGGCAATTGACTGTTCAACTCCCTGAGCCACTAGTATGTGTGCAAAGAGCAGGAGACAAAGCAGACAGAAATCTTGGCCCTCACTGACCAACATTCTAGCAGAGGAGCTAGCAAGTCTGATGTCTAGAACAGTGAGTGCTGTGAATAAGCACAGAACAAGAGGAATGCAGAGAGACTGGAGCAGGGGAGGGGACTGATTGTATGGAGGGGTCAAGGAAGGCCCCCTAAGAAGGTGGCAATGGCCAGAGACCTCAACCGCCAGGTGGGCGGGGCCAGAGAAGAGATCTTGAAGACCTGTTGTCTCCCTTTGTGCCCAGCTTTGCTCTTCTCACAAACACTTGTTACGGGAGGCGAAATGGCACTCCTCTTGCTTTTTCCTTTGGTTCTGTCAATTTCTCAGTGATTTCCAAAGAGAAAATACTATTCAACAGGTGGCAAATTCTGCATTCCAAGAGAGGGGCTGAACAACATCCGGGGGACTTACAAGGGAGGCAACCTGGAATCAATTTAGTGACTGAAGTAATAAAAGGAAGTTAGACTATTTTTTTGGAGGTAGTTGTTGATATGAAGCCCTCACCTGAAGCCTGTGAGAAGCACTCCCAGAAAACCACCCAAAGAAGTTTATTTACTTATTTAGAGAGACTTTGAATGTGGGAGGGGCACAGTAGCTTGGTGAGCAACACACACACCCAAGAAAACTGAAGTCAGAAGGTTGTTGTCAGTCTGAGGCAGCGGAGAGATAGAGACAGACAGACAGGAAGACACGTGCACACTCTGAGATAGAGATACAGAGAACACAACCTGGGGTCATTTTAAATCTCATTGAGGAGGTCTTAAAAGAGAGAGGAAAGCTAAGCAGCTGGTTGGGCCGCACTGTGCTGGCCAATGTCCTTACAAGTGCCCAAGGAGGAGTCCCCTTTGCCATCCACGCAGCCCGGTTACTCCAGTGCTGCCAAATGAGACCTTGTCTCTCCTCCTTTTCCTCCTGCCAACACCAGAAGGGGCAGAAAACAGTGTGATCCTGCCAGAGCGAAAGGAGAGGGAGAATGGAGGAGTGCTCCCCACAGCATGTGCCCACACTTGTGCACAGTGGGGGCTGCGGGGGGAGGCACAGGCCACACCTTGATGCAGTTATGTAATTATCCCGCATATGAGTGACCAGCTGGAGACAGTGTGGGGACTAAGGCGACTGGAGCCTGCAGCCTGCCCAGCAGCTCCTCCAGGACTGGAGAGCAGGTTTGAGCAGGCTGGGTGGGGGCGGGGGAGATGAAGCTGTGTTCTGGTTGTGTGTCACCAATCCCGCTCCTCCAAGGTGCTGGCTGTGCACTCCTCACTACTCAGAAAAAGCCCACAGTTCTGCCCTCTCTCCTTCCTGTGTTCACGTCATCCTGGACCCTTACCTCCTTCCATCTGGCCTCAGTTCCAGCAGGCGATGCCCCATTAGCTGCTCACCCAGCCTGCTGGTGCCTTGAGCTAATGGCCCTGCTACCCCACCCTTCTCTCCCTTCCGGCCCACTGCCCATCCCAGGCACCCTCCCTCAGCCCAGCACGGGGACTCCAGAGCCTCAGAGACATCTGGCAGCACTAAGAGGTGAGTCCTTCCTTCTGTGGCTCCTCTCTACACCAACAACTATTCCCCAGACTCCCAAATCCCCCTGCTTAGGGCACCCCTGAAATCAGCGAGGTCACTCCCGTGGACACGATGGGACCTGGCTTCCCTGGGGCTCTCTGCTGGGGGGACCCTTTGGTTACCACAATCTCCACTCTACTCAAACCCCAACTTCTCCTTCCCTTGGCTAGGAGCTGACACCAACCCTCCACTGCTGGACTGGTGGTCCACGGTTGGGGAGCAACCACTTCTCTTCCCAGGGAGTTGGGGGCAGGGGAGTGAAAGCAGAAGTCTAACTTCCATGCCTAAGAAAAGCACGTACTGTGGGGCCCAAATCTGTTTTGAATTCTCTCTCCCCCTTCTCTCCCCAGAGTCTCAGAAATTAAGCAGCCTTCGCTCTTCTGGGACCTGCACGCTTTCGTTCTGTCTTCTCTTGTCAATCCTCGATCACATTCTGTATTTTAAGAAGCGATACAGTGGAAAGAACGCAGAGGACTGAGGGCTAGCGGTGTCACTTATCATCCGGGCTCCCCTGCTAACTGGCTGCCACCTCCCTTTGTGGGCCTCCGTCTGCCAAAGGCTTCTAAAACCCTGAGCGGTTTGTGACTCCAGAACGTCCCTCCTCAGGCCTGAGATCTGAGGGCAGGGAACAGTGAGCACAGGAGCCAATTGGGCCACCGGGCCCCATGGACCTGCCCCCGCAGCTCTCCTTTGCCCTTTATGTGGCCGCCTTCGCACTGGGCTTCCCACTCAATGTCCTGGCCATTGGGGGCGCCGTGGCCCACGCCCGGCTCCGCCTCACTCCCAGCCTTGTCTATGCCCTCCACCTGGGCTGCTCAGACCTATTGCTGGCGGCTTCTCTTCCCCTGAAGGCGGTGGAGGCCCTGGCTGCGGGAGCCTGGCCTCTGCCTGCCCCACTCTGTCCTGCCTTTGCCCTGGCCCACTTTGCACCACTCTATGCGGGTGGCGGCTTCCTGGCTGCCCTGAGTGCTGGCCGTTACCTAGGAGCCGCCTTCCCCTTGGGCTACCAAGCTGTTAGGAGGCCCTGCTATTCCTGGGGCGTGTGTGTGGCCATATGGGCCCTTGTCCTCTGCCACCTGGGGCTGGTCTTTGGGTTGGAGGCTCCCGGAGGCTGGATGGACAATACCACCAGCTCCCTAGGCATCAACACACCAGTCAATGGCTCTCCAGTCTGCCTGGAGGCCTGGGACCCAGCCTCAGCAGGCCCTGCTCGCCTCAGCCTCTCTCTCCTGCTCTTCTTTCTGCCCCTGACCATCACAGCCTTCTGCTACGTGGGCTGCCTCCGGGCACTGGCCAGCTCAGGCCTGAGTCACAGACGGAAACTAAGAGCAGCGTGGGTGGCTGGCGGGGCACTGCTCACACTGCTGCTCTGCTTGGGACCCTACAATGCCTCCAATGTGGCTGGCTTCTTGCACCCCGACATGGGAGGCCGCTGGAGGAAGCTGGGGCTCCTCACAGGTGCTTGGAGCGTGGTGCTCAACCCATTGGTGACCGGCTACTTGGGAAGGGGGATTGGCCGGGGGACATCATGTGGGACAAGAATCAAAGGGGGTACATCTCAGAAGTAGTAGCCTCTGCTGGGGGGCAGGAACATGCAGCAGAACCCCGCTGCTTCTCTAGGCCTCTGGTGAGGGCTGCTCCAAAGGAACTGCAGGGTGGCCTTGCCCCGGGGCACCCCTGGAGCCACTTATGGGAAGAATGGAGTCTGTCAAGATATCATCCCACCTGGAGAGAAGAATGGAGGCCAGGAGCTGGTCGCAGGCGAAAGGTAAATTGACCTCTGCACACAGCAGCAGACTCTCCGTGTCTGTCTCTCCTCTGCTTGGTCCTTACCTGCCTGCCTGTCAGTGTTATGGGCAGAGGCCTTTTACTAGTGGGAAAGTAGGAGGGGAGTTTGCTTCTAATCTAGAGGAACTGCCATCTGATGATACATATTGGGAGATGCTACTTCAAAGTCATTTCCTAGGAAAGAACAACTTAATTTCTGACTGAGACAGGAGGCAAAATAATGACACTGTAATACCACTGGAAACTCACAAGAGGGCAGCATTAGAACTGTGAACAGGAAGTTGGGGAGAAGGGATGCTTCAGCAACGGGAGGGAAAATATTAGCAGCACCAGAAATAGTCGCAAACAAATACAGAGCCTCTAATACGAGCCAGTCACCATGCCAAGTGCTTGACTAGTGTTGTCGCATTTCATCCTCACACAGTCCTCTGATTCACCTGTGCAGCTGGGCAGGTTGTTCATTAACTCAATTCTAGCCTGTGCTTTGCTCACCAAGCCATGTGCCTGGCACAGGGGGGCCTCTATCCAGGGGAAGCAGCATCCTATCTAATAAAGAGGGAATATGCTAATTGACCCACATACCATCGCAAAGATGGTGGCGCCCACAGCCAATAAGGAGAGAATATGCTAATTGACTGCCCCGCCCTCAAAGTGGCGGCACCCACAGCCAATAGGGAGGGAACATGCTAATTGACTGCCCCGCCCTCAAATGTGGCAGTGCCCACAGCCACAAGATGGTGGCGCCCAGTCCCCACAGCACCGCTGGGGCAGCAGGCGTGGCAAGGCTGGGCCCGCCTTGCCATGTGCCTGCCTCTGGAATCTTCCAGTCCTCTCAGCCCCCCAGCTGCCCAGGGCCGCCCAAGGCTCAGGTAACCAGGGCCAGCTGAGGATTGTGCTGCTGGCAGTGGCAGCAACAGAGGTGTGATGGGGGCATCGTCTTTCCCTGATCACCAGGTTGCCTCCCACCCCTGAGGGCTCCTGAACTGTGAAAGGGGGCAGGCCCAGCTGAAGGACCCCAGAGAGTAACTGAAGCCATTATCATCTTTATTTTGCAGGGAGAAAAAATTTTCCCAAGGCCCTACAGCAAGGAAGGGGTAGATGTGGGATGTGATCTTTCAAGGCAGGGCCCCCAAGGTCAGGGGACATTTGGAAAACTTAGTATTGGGTTAATGCCTGTCCTTGGGCTCCATTTTACAAAGGTGAATGGTGGCACCCTGAACCCACAAGAAAGCAGGCAGAAGAGAGAGGCCATAAAGGAGGCAGACACTTGGGCATCTGCTCTGACCAGGCCAGGGGTAGAAAGCAGATTTGTCCCTCTGATGATGACAGTGCCATGAACATATAGGGGCACCAAAAGTGGTAGCTATGTGCCCAGCATGCGTGAACCGATTTATACAAGTTATTTCTTTTCATGCTTAAATGTCTACAAGGGCAAGGAATTTTGTTTTATTTTCTGATATATCCCCAGCACCTAGAAGAGAGCCTAGCACACAGTAGGCTCTCAGTAAATGTTTGTTGCATGAATGAATACTCACAATAGCCCTCCAAAGCAAGTTTTATTATCTGTTTTATAAACATGGAAACAGGCCAGAGAAGTAACTTGCTGGAGGCTCTGTTGGAGGCAGAAACATGTTAGTTCCATACACTGTGATGATTCCAGAGAGGTTCCCATAACAGCTCCGGTGGCCCCCTGCCCCTCCCATAATGCCAGAGACTATTCTCTCTCCTATTCTCTGGAGCACCTGCTGCTGGGCCACTTCTTCCTGTTACTTGTGCCTCATCCTCATAGGGGAGATTTCAGTTGCTCCCTGGGGCCCATGGGCCTTGCATGATCCTCCCCTGGCATCATCTCCTGACCCCTGGCCCTTGAACCCTAAACCTTCTACCAGTTCCCCCAGTGGGTCAAGCCTGTGCACCTGCCATTCCTTCTGCCTGCAGTGTTTCCTCCAGTGGTTCTCTGCCTCTGTATTATCCTCCCAACACTCAGCCCTCCCAACCCTCTCATTACCAACTGTAAGCACCACAACAGCAAAAACTTTGTTTCGTCCACTACTTATTGAGGTAATATTTACATGTCATAAAATTCACCCATTTGGAATGTACAATTCAATGAGTTTTAGTAAATTTACTGAGGTGTGCAACTATCACTAAATCCAATTTAGAACATTTTCATCACTCCAGTCAGAACCCTCATGCTCATTTACAGTAACTCCCACTTCCACCCCTATAACCAGTCATCTACTTGTTGTCTCTATAAATGTACCTATTCTGGACATTTTATATAAATGAAAAGATATAATGCTCAGTCTTCAATGTCTGGCTTGTTTCACTTAGCATAATGTTTTTGAGGTTCATCCGCATTATAGTACACATGGGTATTCCATTCCTTCTTATTGCAGGTAGTGTTCTATTGTGTGGATATGCCACCTGGTTTATCCATTCATTAGCTGATAGGTCACAGAGGGATGTTTCCATTTCTTGGCTATTATGACTAATGCTATTTTTTTGTTATTTTTAAAATATGTTTTTAAAGATTTCAGAGAGAGCGAGGCAGAGAGAGAGAGAGGGAGATCAATGATGAGAGAGAATAATTGATCAGCTGCTTCCTGAATGACCCCTTCTGGGGATTGAACCCACAACCCAGGCATGTGCACTGACCAGGAATTGAACCGTGACCTCCTGGTTCATGAGTCAACGCTCAACCACTGAGTAACACTGGCTAAGCAGAGTATCTGCTATAGATTATATGCCCCCTAAAAGGTAGCTGCTATCATCATCACCACCATCATCATCATTATTAATGTTATTATTACCATCACCCCAGGGACAAGCCCATACCGGTGACTGGGGTGATGGCAACTAACACCTGTTAAGTGCTCACCCTAACATGTCAGGCTCGCTTCTAAGCATTTGATATGTACTAATGCTGTAATCTACACAATAACATATGAGATTGGTACTGTGATCATCTCTGTTTTAGATGAAAAAGCAGAGATTCAGAGAGTTTACATCACTTGCTCCATATCAGAGTAAATAAGTGACGGAGCCAACATTGGACCCAGGCCATACTTACCATCACTGCATCCTGCTTCCTGTCCTTACAAGGCAAACTAGAGGAGTGCCATGTAGAGAGCAGATAAAATGCAAGTGGAGGATGGGGGAGGGAGAGATGATGTCGGCTCAGGCCTGGTGGGGACATTCCACTGGAGGCTGCCCTAGGAGCCAGGCCTCCACTTGTGGAATTTGCTATTCATTTTGCATATAGAGCTAAAGGCATCTTTTGTGCTATGGCTCAGCAGTGAGTGACATCACAGTCATTGCCAGATCTTTATCAGTTCCGTCAGATTAATAGCTAACTGCACTTGCTCTGGAGGAACCAGCAAGGTGCCGAGTGGCAGAGCACTTGGATTCTTAAATAAGCAGGTGAGTGCTGGGCCCTGAGTAACTATGAGGAGAAGCCGCTTGGCGCTTACTTTACTGGGGGAAGCAATAGGAGACAGGCTGACCCCAGTGGGGAAGGCGTCAGGGGGCATGAGAAAGTGAGGTGGTGACGATGTTCTCTGTGGATTGTTGAGACGCTGCCATCTCTCTCCCTCTCTGTCTCACAACCTCTTTCTCTCTAGTGGCCATCACCATGGACAGAAGTCTGGATCCATCCTTCTTCCCGGGCAATCACTGGCTGTACTTCTCCATGTACCTCTTCACCTTCCTGGTGGGGCTCCCGCTCAACCTGGTGGCTCTGGTGATCTTCGCCCGCAAGCTGCAGCGCCGCCCAGTGGCCGTGGACGTGCTCTTGCTGAACCTGACCCTCTCGGACCTGCTCCTGCTGCTCTTCCTGCCCTTCCGCATGGTGGAGGCGGCCAGCAGCATGCACTGGCGGCTGCCCTTCATTTTCTGCCCCTTAACCAAATTCCTCTTCTTCACCACCATCTATCTCACGTCCCTCTTCCTGACAGCTGTGAGCATCGAGCGCTACCTGAGCGTGGCCTACCCGCTGTGGTACAAGGCCAGGCCAAGGCTCCGACAGGCTGGCCTGGTCAGTGGGGCCTGCTGGCTCCTGGCCACTGGGCACTGCAGCGTGGTCTTTATCACCGAATTCTCAGGAAACTCTTCCCACAGCACCTGCTACCTGGACTTCGAGGAGGAGCAGCTGGCCATTCTCCTGCCTGTCCGGCTGGAGATGGCTGTGGTCCTTTTTGGAATTCCCCTGCTCATCACCAGCTTCTGTTACAGCCGCCTGGTGTGCATACTCAGGAGGGGAGCCAGCCACCGGCGGAAGAGGGTGGCAGGGCTAGTGACAGCCACGATGCTTAACTTCCTCATCTGCTTTGGGCCCTACAATATTTCTCATGTTGTGGGCTACCTCCAGAATAAAAGCCCAGTATGGAGAAATTACGTGCTACTCCTCAGCACCTTGAATTCTTGTGTTGATCCCTTGGTTTACTACTTCTCATCATCTGGGTTCCAGGCTGACTTTCAGAGGCTGCTGCAAAGGCTGCCTGGGATCTGGGGGTTCTGGAGGCAGGAGAGCTGCTTGAAACTGAAGAAGAATGAAGAGGGGCAACCTCAGGAGCTGTCCAATGTAGAGAACAGGTAGTGGACTCTAGGAGGGCTGTGGAGTGGGTGGCAAGTGGCCTGAACTGAAGGACATCTCATTCACAGGGCAGTTCCTAGCTCAAGTCAGGCAGGACCTGGGAGTGGCAGACTGGGGACTGATGCAGTCGGAGCAGAGCAGGCACCCAGCCTTCCTAAGGATGTGCTCACCAAAGCCCAATTCTTG